ACACAAGATGAATTACTAAAGTTTTCACATGTGTGACTATTTTCTCATGACGATGTTTCATTCGGTATATTAATCGATAATGAAAATAATTGTTAGTTGCAGCCCTAGGGCCAACACAATACCAATGCCAAAGTGATAGAATTTGATAGCCTCTGTTATTTTAAATATCTAAATACAAGCATAAATAAGACATTTGTCTAATTGTCTAAAACTGAGTCTAAAATTAGATAAGTTTTGATTTAGAGCTAACTGAAATTATAACAATGAAAGCCTCTGCCTGCTGGAGTATTATACCCACAGTACTGATTGCCGTTTCTTGTTATGCTTCTGGTCTGCGTTTCATTCCAACCTCATTGTTACAACACCTGAGGCAAAGTCTCTCAATTACATTGGCATTTGTTGAAGCTTAAATGACACAAAATGCTTGTGTGCTGCTTGTGTACTGCTCCTTCACTGGCATGCTGCCATTGTTGGCAATGTTAGCGAGTCACTCCATCAAGACTAAAGTAAAATTACAATGTTGCAACCTTGGAAAAGCTATGCAACACATGCAAACAGGGCTATTTGAAGTGCTCCTTTGAAGACATCCACACCAGAGCTTCTTACAATGTCAAACTCTCGGGCTGTGCCATTGCTTGTGCCTAGTAAGGCTGAAAGATAAGAACATACAAAACATCTGAGATCCCACACTGCTGCAGAGCTTATAAAAGGAACGGTGGATGTGGAAGGAAAAGTAAAGACTAGAGGGTACAGAGAGAAGGAGGAGAGACAGCAGCAACATTCATCTCACAAGCCTTTCAGGGATATGCGTATGCAGTGGGTTGTACTTAATCAAGACTGACAAATCTTCATACTTAAGAAAATAGAAGGGACTTGCATTCTAGGACAAGCACATCACAGAGGAGATCTGTGTCTACAAAGCCCTCACATCCTCTGGTTGTGCATAAGCCTTATTAACCACGCACAAAGACCAGAGACACAATTTCAGTGACACAACTTAGTGCAATCTTTACATAACAGAGTCAGTTTTAAGATACACAAAAAGAACAACACAGAGCTAGAAAGTTGAACTGAAATTATATGTTTATACTAGGGCTGTCCCCGACTAAGGATTTACATAGTCGAATCAGAATCGTCAAGTCCTGCCTATAGTCGACTGATAGTCGAATCATGTGCGTTTTTGTGCACGCCGATTGCGAGCAGGGGGTTTTTACACACGGTAGCTCCACTTTAATCTTGAGAAACTGCAGAGCTGCAGTCTCTCTTCATTCTTTGAGTTTTCTAGGTCTGGTTATTTGCCGTCACCCATGAAAGAGAAACAGCCTATCTCCATTGCATTATTATTATTTATTATTGTTGTTATTATTGTTATTATTATTATTGTGCTCGATTTTTCTGCAATGGTTTAATGGCACTCAACTGGAGAATTAGAGCCACCATCCGTTCATCTCAATGTGGTCAACTCCTAATATCAACATAACGGTATTGAATTCTGTGTGACTTTCAAAAACAGAGTAATGTGTCTTTAATTGCGTTTCCTTCTCTACAGGTACAGTTTTGTGGAACTGTATTCATTTGCTTTTGGCTTTGCTGCCTGCACTGAGGCCACAGTGTAGGGTCAGCTATTAGTGACCCTGGAGTTGGTATGCACTGAGTTTTGACACTTCAGCAGGAGACAAGCTTCCTATCCTGAAGGTTTGAATGGTCAAACAGATGGTCTCCCTAATCACTATACCAGCCTGTCGCCAAGGAGTGAGTAGGGTGACAGGAGAAAGCAATAGGTGACCTGAGAGGAGGGGTAAACCAGGAACCAAATGGAGAATTTTTTGTATAAAAGTCTAGATGTTTCATCAGGGTGTACCACTGAACTCCTGGCCCCACTTCTTAGGAATGTCTGGCATCCAGCTGGCTGTCTTGATTCCCTCTGGCTGTGTTCAAAGCAACCAAGGGCCATTTGTCCCTGAAATCAAACAGACACCAGGCCAAACCCATTCGTGATCAGAGCACCATAAACTCCCAGACCTTTTAGGTGCTGGAGGGGTTTAAAAAGGGAAAAAAATGCCAAGAAGAATGCCCAAGTTTTTTGTATAAAAGTCTTTTACCCTCAGAGTAACTTCAAAACACAGTGTTGTTCACGCCTGTTTCTTGTTTTTGTAATATCAGTGTAACTCATATTTCAGTCAAATGCATGTACTGTACATTAGCTCTATATTAAACCAACAAGCATCATTGTAATAAAGTTTTATGACCTGATGCACAACCTTTGCACCTTTACAGGCATGCCACTCTTATCAGCTGCTCACTAAAATACAGTCGACAAGAAAATCTTTCACCTGTGAGCATGATTCAACTGATGATAACAGAAGAGCTAAACTGGTTGGTCAAAGTCTTAAATAGTCCATCTTTGTACTTTAACATCACAATTATGCCATACCATAAATGTATTCATCATTCACTTGGGCCTCTGTGAACAAAAGTTGACCATTACATTTAAAGAGACTACAACCCAGTTGATGGGAGAAATGAGAATATGTTGCTTAGTGTCCCACCAATGTGTCCCTGTGCAAGACACTTAACCCCTAGTTGCTCCAGAGGAGTGCAACCTTTGACATATGGCAATTGTAAGTCACTTTGGATAAATGTAATGTGTACTGTGTATGTATTTTGGTTTGAAAAAGCCAGACGTTTTTACACTGTGAGGCACCTCCCCCCCTTCTGCAATACACTGAGAATAAGACAAGAAGCGGCAAGAAAACAACAGGGATAAAATACGGAGACATGCTGGCAAAGGTGAGCTAACATAACATTATTAAGTGCTGAAGATGGCGAAAACTGTAGTCACAAAGCGCTTAGACAACAGAATTTCTTTTAAATTTAAGACAAATATGAGACAAGAAGTTCAATGACGACGAATAGACTAAAATGTCATTTGTTTTTGTTGACTAAAACTATCCTGTAATTTGTCAAAGGACTTAAATTAGCCCACTGATTCTAGTGTATCATTATACATTTGTTGCATAACTACCAAGTTCCCTCAGATTCCTTCACAATTTGAAGTGTTACTTACAGGGCTTACAAACCACAGACTCAAAACCACTGGAGTGTAAGATTCCAACTTCTCTACAGAAATGTCCAGACTTTATCCAGGTGGTTTCTCTCTGCATTCCTCAGTGGGAGCAACACACCTGTGGGGCTGTAATATACTACAGCAGTGACCTGCAAACCTGCACACCGTTATGTGGCCTCCTGTAATATGAGCCACAGCTCTTTGGAGAGGAAAGGAGAGAGATCCGAGCTGTACCAGTCATCTGCTCTGGGACGGCTTGGGTCACCGTCCCTGGTCAGTTCTGCATGGGGGCCCAACAGACTTTGTGGCACAATGGAGGTCTTGTGAGCTACTCAGATAGTCAAAGAATGTGCCCCCTCCTTCAATTACAGATGACGAGAATCTGCTGACTTGTGCAAAAAACTAATGACAAAGCTATGAAGTCGGCTCAGGACATCCTTGTCAGAGTCAAGAGTGTTGCAGCTGTGTTTACAAGTGCAAAGTGTTTCCACAGGAGTTCAGAATAATTAGAAAACTGTTTATGGATATTAAAACTCTCCCATGGTGAAAGTCTGGTCTGATCATCTGTCAAACAAATGCCTGTTCTGCAAACATAAAGCAGCGTTAGTGCTGAGCTCTTGTCCCAGGGGTCGAGACTTCAGCTCTAGAGGTCAAGCGTTCACTCTACAGCCACTAACGGACATGCAAGTACAATACAAAGGCAATGATGCTACACTGAAACTAAACCGCTGTTATATAACACAGTTAATGATTTCCCTGGAGAGAAGGCACTGCAAGCTTTGTCAAATATTGTGAGTGTGCGAGTGAGGGAATAAACACAAGTGTGTGTGTGTGTGTGTGTGTGTGTGTGTGTGTGTGTGTGTGTGTGTGTGTGTGTGTGTGTGTGTGTGTGTGGAACAAGACATTTGAGGTGAAATAAACAAATGACTCTGACTTAACATTTAAAAAATTATATTTTCAGTATTCACTCAGGCATCAGAGAACATCCTGATTTGGCCAGTGTGAAGATCAACAAAAACATGTGCAGTACACTGGAGACTCAGGGAAAAAGCCAAAGTTTGAATCAGTGTCACCATGGCTCAAACTCATCTAACACCTAGGGAACACTTCCAGAAATAACCCCGTTGCTGCCCATAAGTGGTGTCCCACAATCACAAACAAAGCATCCTCCTGTTAACTTAAACATTACTTTACAGAAAGGAGCAGAGCTGGAACGATCTGCAACTATTTTAATAATAGATAGTGATACTACACATTCTCAGGTTCCAGCTTCGACTTGCTGCTTCCCGTTGTCAGATATTATAGTAAATTGAATATCTTTGGGGTTTGGACAAAAGAAGACATTTGAAGACGTCAGCTTTGCAAAGTTGTGATTGGCATTTTTTCACTATATTTTTACCTTCCATAGACCAAACAATCAAATGTTAAACTGCAGATGGGATACTACTATCAGCAATAAGGTGACAGTGGGCCTTGTAAGTGTTAGGCAGAGAAAGTATGGTGTCAAAAGTTTCTGAAAGGTACTCCAGTCACATGTCAAAGAAGTAAACTGGCAGCAGACGGTGTGTGCTCTAAGTGTTGTGAGTGAAAGTGAGTACATATGAAACTCTGTAGCTGCAGTCACTGTAAATGGCCTAATCCGTGAACCCACTCCCAGAGTGGCTTTAGACAAATGATGGCAGAAGGACTGTCAGGGCAGCTTCATGTCAAAGCCGGTGAAAACTCCAGGCTTGCTGTGGAGAAAAGATGAGCAGCAGCATGCAGCACAACTCCTCTGCCCTACTTCACAGGCATCACCATTTTATTATGTGCAATTAGAAACTTCCATTAGGATTTCTCTACTCTTTGTGAGTGTTAATCTCCCCACTACCACCACCACACTTTTTATCTTTCTGCCACACCGTTTCTATGGTGTATTTCAGATTTCTCTTACCTTGACGCACAGTTTTCAACCTGACAGGACCTTTGCAGCAGTTAATCACAGTGAAAATGTCATAAAGGGGTAATCCAGAAACAGGCAGCCCCTCGACCTCCAGCAGCAGCTCCCCTTCGCAGACTTTTCCGTCCTGGTAAAGCACAGCATCCTCTCTAACTTGCCCGATATATGGGAACTCTCCATTCTCTGCCCCGCCGCACAGCTCCACATTCAGCTGCCCGCACGCGTCCCGGATAACCGCGCAGTCGTTCACTTTGGTGATCCAGTGGTTCTTTTTCTGAATGACTTTTGACATTATGACTTCAAATGGTCCAAAGCAACCCGTTACTTCCGCGGAATGGTGTAGAAATCAGCCGATGCATAGCATAGAGACAGTCCCAACAGACAGAAAACTTCAGGGTGTTTGGGTGTTACTCCAAGTTGGAACATTTTCACCCTTCTCCTGAGCCAAGGCATGCTGCACCCAGTGCATGGAAATATCCCGATGGATTAAAAGTCGGGTTGTTGTTGCTCCTGTTTTTGTTTCCGCATCTTTGACAACAACACACGCTCCGATTCCTCGCTGTGGGATCTAATCCGGCTCTCTGATTGCCCGCTTTACATTCAAATACTCTTCTCCTCATTAATCCTTTAGCTACTTCTGCCTCCTCGTCAGTCGAGTATTTCCCTTTTTTAAACTTTCCAGTAGAAAAAAGCTGTCACCTTTAGACTACTCACACAACCGGCGGCGCCTTTAAGCAGGTAACACGACAAATTCATCCTGTCTGCCCCTGCGCTGTGGATGGAGAAGTCGTGGAAGGAGGGGGGGAGAGGCGCACGCATGCGTCCAGCTGCTACTCCAAGAGGGAAAATCCTACACGACCACACACCTATGGATAAAGAAAGCCCCTCTCCTATTCCCCGAACGCGTTTCCAAATGGTTACAGCAGTCTCCGCGTTAAACCCCACCAGGAGCTCAATCCTTTAGTCTTTTCGAGCTGCAGGTTTATTAAGGTTGTTGGTCCAAAGTACAAACCAGCAGCTATGCGACACAAGGCCAGAGTAAACTTTATATAGTAGTCTTTATTTGTGGAGGGGTTCGCCAGGTGACCTATAAGAAGTTCAGGGCAAATGTTTCAAGACTGAGCAAATTTCAACAGAAACTCTCCTGGATTGTAGGAGAGACCGGGGATGATTGTAACAAAGGTCAGATGTGACATGTCTAATTTCTCCAATCGGGAACAAGTTCGGAATCAATCTGTCTGCACATTCTCAGTTTAGTCTTTATTCTACATAGGGAAAGTAGCACCCTGTTGCAGGCACAGCCAATTTTAGATGGTAAATATATATTTTTGTTATTGTTATTTGTTATAGCTTTGCCTGCTTTGTAGCTACACTCATCAAACTTAACTCATGTTCATTTTGTATATATATGTAGATATCTTTCATGCAAGTTGTTAGTGCTAATGTTTTAGCTGTAAGCTGTAAGGTAAGCTTGTTCATGGCTACAAGAGTTTGGTTTAGTTATAGAGTCCAGGTTAGTTTCTAAATACAAAACAATTAATCAACTGATAAAATATGATGCATTATTTAAGATTAAACCACCCAGCAGTAGGCTATATACATGTTTTATTATATTATTATATTCCTGCCAAAAATAATGTCTCTACCACATAATACAGACTGTGTCTGGTGTGAATATTTGTAACTCTGGGGGATGTTGCTTGGTCACCTTTCCATGGTTAAATTAAAACATGCATTTTGAAGCATATGTTTCAACGAGTACCTTCAGAAATAACCTTTAAACATTAACCAACAGTGTAAATCAATCATCTTCCTGTAAACCTCTCTTTGCTGAAGCAGAAAGGAACTGATCAAGGTGAGGAAGTCACTCAAAGTGAAGCTGCCCTTCGACATACTTCACAAAGGGTTAGACACACACACAACCCTCTCACAAACTTATAGTCTCTTCATTTACTCACATTAGTGGTATATAAGTGATATACATTTCTCTCAATAGGTTTGTTTTTAGTCTTTTTGACAAGCTCAGACATCATTTGGAGGTAATTATTGTTTGTTTTAGGCAGGAGAATTTGTATTGTACAATTGCAGTTTGTAAGTATTGTCCACTGTTGGCATTTTGTAGGTTGTTTTCCTCCAACAGCCCTTAAAAGAAGACAAACAATTTGAATTTTAGACAGTAAAGGGAACATTTGTCAGTGCCTGGCAGTAACATTATCTACAATAATGCAAATAACTGGGGCAGTTTGGAAAGAGCGAGGAGGGATCAGGTGAAAAACACATGCCCCTGCAGGAGGAATTCTCTGTGTTTCTTGCCTGTTCAGATAAAGAACAGTATCTGGCACTCTACCACAGACTGCGAGGGCAGTGGCCTGGATAGCAGTGCATGAAATGCAGCTTTCCATCCCATTTCATCTTGATGTTGAGTGCTGGGAGTGTTCAAAGTGACTCAATATGTCACTTTTACCTCTCTTGCCAATCACATGGAAGGTAGATGTCTCCAACAGCTAGAATATGGCTGTCTTTATTTTCATTGTGTGGTCTATACTAACATGATTCATATGTATCTGTGTGTATGGTAAACATACGTGACACTCTATCTATTGTTTACTGTATGTGTTGCAAAGTGGACTCTGTTCTGCCTGTCACATGTCACATGACATTCTCAGTGTGGAGAACCAACAGCTGCAGGCCATTGAACGTGACACACATCCAGGGCGCCAATTTGCTCTGACTGGTGAGTTGAACACTGTTTAAACATGCTTTTTTCTGTGATCAAATCACCATCTGAAAATTGGAGCTTTGCAATGGAACTATTTACATGGAAGACTCACATTTAGATTTAGTGAGTTGCTGCACTGAGAAAACGTTGAAATCCTGCACCGTGTCAGCACAGAGTTTATCAGTGGTACGTTTCCTCAGGCATTACATAGGCTATAGACGTCTGCTCAGGTTGAAGTTGGGCAGACATACTGTATGTAAAGAATTAAACAAGTTCACCAAAGGCAATGTACCAGTTAAAATGATAAAGGTATAAGTTGTCCCACCTTTCTCTGCTTTGGGGATATATGCTTGTTCCATTACTTGCCTATAGTTAGTGCATTTATATAAGTTTTTTTACAATTTGAATTACATTTTCCCATTCATTGGGAACATCAAGAGCAATTTGGGTTTCAGTGTTTTGATGAAGGACAAGGACTTGGTCCTTTCATCACATGATCTACGCACATCACATAGCTTCAGTCATTGAGAGAAAAAGTTATGACGTCACATACATGACTTTTGTAAATATGTAATTTCACAGTCTTTTACTTCAAGAGTTTTCCAACAAACTGCGACTTTCTTGACTTTCAAAATTACAAACATCATATGTGTAATTCAGGGCACAATTAAAAAGGGATCAAAATATTAGTTGTCTCTCACTACTGACAAGTCCCATGGTGGACCACCGAAAGGGTGAAACAGTGAGTGAGAGAGTGAGGGACATGTCAGTCAAGTCAGTCATGTGGTAAGGGGTGATGGCACTAGAGGAGGAATCACCACCAGAATCTAACTATCCAACAACGCCACCTGGGGACTTCCACCCCAGGAAATGTTTAATTTCTACCTTGACTAACACCCCAGTTGTACAAACGCTACACAAACTCACTGACTGAAGTAAGACAGAGACGTGGTTCCAAAAGAATTACTCATTCATTGATAATTAGATAATTGGCAACTGGAAGTGCCTGGAAAGAGGATGGTTAAAAAATGTAACAACTAAACACATTACGATATAAACTATAAAACACTCCCAGTTATTACTTTAAATTTATATTAGATTATTTTTACACAGGGTACTGCTAACAACCCAGAGAAGTCTAATCAGGAAACACAAGTGAAAAAATACAAATGTGTGGGTTTACCATGCGTGCATTTGGAACTAATCTCTCTGTGTGTCCTTTAAATCATCAATAGCTTCATGTTTATGGGTGTAAGTACTTTTAAAATCTATAGTTATTGATATTTTATTATTATTAGGCCTATAGCAGCATAACTAAGGGATGGTTCAGGACTCACTCACCTGAGTCAGTCCTAACTATAAGCTTTATCAAAGAGGAAAGTCTTAAACCTACTCTTAAATGTGGAGATGATGTCTGCCTCCTGAACCTAAACTGGAACCCGGTTCCACAGGATTTGACAGCCTTTTTGAACGGATGACATGAAGAAGGCCCAACCATTGATGACAACTTGAGGCTCCTCTCCCTGTTTATTTGGGTGTCTATAAACAAGAGTTAGCAGTTTGAACAAACTGTTTCTTTTAGAAGAATAGTAGGTAAACAGGGACACATTGCTTACCTATTCACTTTGTTAAGACAAATGAAAAAGGCCTGACTTTGAGTTGTACATAAAGGTGAGCCTGGAGCAACAACTGGTGAAATAATCCTGCAAATCCTCCAGAAGTGTGGTACAGAGAATGTGTTTAGTTTTATGAGTGACAGTAATTGGCTGTCCAAACTTCGGGAATGCTGCAAGTCCACAATCAATACAAAGTATTTAAATATTAATCAGCAAGTCAATCATTGTATTGATCTGTCGTGGCGGTCAGAGAATGAAAGCTCTCGCTGTTGAAAACAAAGAGACTGTGCTAGGTATAGCTGAAGGTGTTAAATTGAGACACATCATTGACTTTGTAATAAATTCTCTTACTTGTAGTGATCATAGTGATTTATTCATTTCTGATTATAAATGAATTAATTTATGCTTTATGAGTATAAAACAAACACTGAGGGAGGAGTTCCAACACTCAAAACTCAACAAAAAATAGTTTTAACTCTTTTACTTACTCTATCTACAATTTAGGTATTCACTCCATGCATATGGTGTCCCATGGCAGACTGAATTACTGGAAATATTTACCAAATTTCAAACTGTACAAGGAAAAAAAAAAGAAAATCTATAATTAATTTATTGTTGCACTCCTTTTACAAACACTTGACACTTGGGACAGTGTGGAGTAAGGATATACCTTTTTCATATTTAAATAAACTATTAATATTATATTAATAATATTTATAGAAATATTATATTTATATATGCTGGTGGTTGTATTGGGACAAATTATCACATATCACATGTATCTTGTGTTTTGGGGAAGTGGTTAGCATTTGATCAACAATTGTATTACTTCTAAATGATGATTGTCTTTGGTTTCCACAAATTCCTGAGGGAAAAATCCAGCTCTTTAGCTGCTAAATGCTCCAGTGTGTGTACTGGGCAGGCTGATGCCTTCAGTTACCTTCTTGCGCATGTGAGAGAGATTAGCAGTTGAACAGCTGGTCAGTGGAGTTTAGAAAGATTTATTTCTGTTCCACATGAAAAAAATACCCTGGCTTTGCATTGCACACACTGTTCTTCATTTGTATTTAGCCATATTGCTGTATATTTGATGAGTGCATAACATCAAGTGAATTGCAAAACTGTGCTTTTTTCTCATGAAAAGTATTTATTCATTACCAGACAGCCTGAGAAGCCTGAGAAACAACTTCAAGTTGTGGAATAAAAAGCACATTGACACAAAGATGAATTCAATGTCTGTTTGTAAATTCAGAGAACCATCTGAGGGGCATACTGTGCTCTTTAAAATCATGAGAAACAACCTCATGTATACCTGCGAAGGATCAGATGGCTCAAGGGTTTGTTAAATAATGCAGGAGTTATCAGCTGAATCCTCACATTCCAGATGTCTTACAGGATACAATGTTTAAATCTTCTCTTTTAGAGAATCCCGCAATAGATGCAGTGAGCAGCAGTTACATTTTAATGAGCACAATGAAGTGCTCCTTAAGTTTAAGATGGTAATCATGATTATCCTGTC